TGACAAAGGAAGTCTTCATAAATATTTAAGAAGTAATTTTAGAGAACTTACTTGGCAGGCTAAATTGCAATTACTTCGAGATATTTCAGATGAATTAGATAGTATTCACGATTATGCAGGATACATTCATGCTGACTTTCACAGTGGTAATATTTTGCATGACCAACGCAATAATGAAAAGGCACAATCGTATATCGCAGATCTGGGATTGTCCAGAAAGAAAGATGATGAAAATGTTTCCGAAGACGATATTTATGGTGTTATGCCCTACGTCGCTCCGGAAGTTTTATTAGGAAAAGGATTTACACAAGCAGCCGACATTTATGGCTTCGGAGTTATCATGGCAGAATTGTCAACTGGAAAAAGGCCTTTTGATGGGCAGGAATTTGATTATAAACTTGGAGTTAAGATTTGCAGAGGAGAACGACCAGAGTTTGCTCCCGGAACTCCCGATTGCTATGTTGAATTGGCTAAGCGATGCATGCATTCCGATCCACAGAAACGGCCTAAAGCTATGAGTGGTGAAAATAGTGTTTACCATACAATTAACGGTTGGCTTAGGAAAATAGAAAGTTCGAATAAAAATGAAATTAAAAAGCAATTCTTAGATGCTGATAAAATCATTAAAACATTACCAATTATCTCACCAAGCCATCCGGATCACATGTATGCCAGCAAAATTATTAGTACAAAATCAATTTCAAGTGCGATCAAAAAAGGTAATTTGTTTTTAAATTTACCTGTAATATTGAAAATTACATTTAATAATGTAAAATATTTTTTTATTTAGATTTGTCTCAAGCTGATTCCGCACAAATCAAGCTTGATGTTTCTAATAATAATTAGAATCTTTGTTAACAAATAACCTTTTTGGAGCTATTACAATTTCATAGTTCCGAAGAGTCTTTTGTCAACAAATTAATAAATATTTTTATAAAATTATAAATAATAAATATATTTATAAAATTAAACCCGTACTGCAATGAGAATTTTGAATAAAAAAAATTTTACATTAATCAATTAATTTGATTATTTATTGTGTTTGTTGTCTACATTGCAAGTAGAAATAAATTAGTCTAGTCTGGTATATCAGTCTAGTCTGGTATATCAGTCTAGTCTGGTATATCAGTCTAGTCTGGTATATCAGTCTAGTCTGGTATATCAGTCTAGTCTGGTATGTCAGTCTAGTCTGGCATGATCTATTTGTAGTATTATTCTTTTAAAAAATCAATCTAAACTAGAACTAAAAATAGATTTTATTATAACTAGTTATAATTAATTTTCTAAATTTTTTTATTTTATTAAGTTAATTTAAGTTATTTAGAATTAATTTTTATTTGTAATATTATTTTATAAATAAAAAATAAAATATTTTTTAAAATTAATTATTAGTTATAAAATGGCTATTAACTGATTTATAACTAATAAATAATTCAAAATCAATTATTAATTACAAATCAGTTAATAGCCATTTTGTAACCAATAATTGATTTTTGAAAAAATATTTTATTGTTTATTTATAAAATAATATTATAAATAAAATTAATTTAAATAATTTTAATTAAAGTTTAAAAATAAATTTAGATAGCATTATAAATTATATAAATCGATTATTTAATAAATTATATTAAAAACCAGACTAGACTGATATTTTTTTAAATTGATTTTTGTAAGAATAATATCAATATTTTTTATATAATATAAAAATTTAAAACTTAAATTTTTATTAATTAAAAACTATAAAATTAAAAAATAAATTATCAGTTATTAAATATTATATTATATTAAGAAAAAACCAATAATAATAAAAAATAAAATAAAATACTTATCTTACTTAACTAAATTATATATATATTAGAATTTTAAATATTTTTAGCAATTTTTATAGTATATCAATTTTATATCAAAATTTTAAAAATTTTAATAAAATATCCTAATAATTATTTATTAAAATTCAATGAAAATTTTTTTAGTTTAATTTTATGAATGACTAAAATTAAAGTAAAAAAATTACAATAAATTTTAAAAAAATTTAATAAAATTTTTATATTTTAATTTTACCCATTCATAAAATTAAAATAAAAAATTTTTATTAAAATTTATTAAGATACTTTTGTTTATTTTAATAAAATTTAAAATAATTTTTAATTCAATATACAAAAAAATTGTTATTTAAATAAGATATTCAAAATTCTTTGCTAGAAAAATAAAGAGATCAATGACCTTATATATATAAAAATCTAAATTATACAAATATATAAAAACTAAAAACAAACACGTAAATATAAAACTTAAAAAAAATAACTAATTCTAAATTTAGAAATAAACATTTCTATATAAAGGTTATTATTTATAAATATATCTAATGTTTAACACGTGTTTAATATATCTAACGTGTTTAATATGTTTAATATATTTAACATATTTAATATATTTAACATATTCCACGGCCCTATATGTTCGCCCGTGAACATTTCTGATGATATTTTTATGATGATGTAATGCCGCGAAAATATCAAAAATTATTCCACGGGCATGACATCATCAGTAAAAATTTTTAATCAGAAATGTCACGGGCATAGGACCGTGAAATATAACAGATATTCAACGGTGTGCCGTGACATCATGTATTACCACGGCTTCGCCGTGCTAATTCATGATATTCACAACAGCCCGTGGAATATCTATTACTTGTTTAACATATTTAACACGTTTAACATGCATGTTTAACATATTTGATATGCATATTTAACATGTTTAACATGCATGTTTAACACGTTTAACATGCATGTTTAACACGTTTAACATGCATGTTTAACATGTTTAACATGCGTGTTTAACATGTTTAACACATTTAACACGTTTAACGTGTTTAATGTTTAACGTGTTTAATACCAACCTAGCAATTTGTGGATTTGGCTATATAGGATAACTTTCTTCTGATTAGTCAATCACTTACAATTGTATTTATACAGTTTAAGTACTTTTTAAGAAGATAACATTTCACAAGTAAAAAATAAAAATTAAACATCATCGCTATCTTCGAAGAAGTGCCAATAGTCAGTCACTATGCCAAATAACCCCAAATAATCTCGCACCTAAAGGTACCTTACCTAGAAGGTGAAATTTCTACATAGGTTATGACTATAGAACTATATGTAATTACTAAATCGTTAAATACAGCTAAGTTATTTAAAGAAAACTAACAGTACAACCATTTTTTTTAACAATAAATAAGCGATTTCCAAGCTATGATAAAGAGGTTTAAAGCATAAAGAATGCTAATACATAAGAGTAGAGTTAGTAATAAGAGTAGTTAAAACTTTATATATGTGTATATATATTGAGACTAATGAGTCTTATCATAACGAGCTTTGGTATAATAAACAATAGATCTTCAAATACTATATTAGTTCGGTATAAAAGGCGTAATAGACATTTAAAAAATACATATCTAGACCTGTTTTTTTCTTTATTCATTTGTTAAAGTGAGAAACGATAGAAATTGATTAAGTTTACGAATATAATGTAATTTAATTGGTTTATTGTCACATGTAATTATGCAACACTGATTGACCAATCATTGGTTATCATTCTATTTTTAGAACACGAACGTTTAAAAATTGGATCCCCTTCAAGTTAATAAATTATTATATTAACGTTGGGTAAAAATTGAAATATATGTAGTTAGAAACCGGAACTTTTAATTTGAATCAAACAACTCAAAATTTTAAAAAATCGTCTAAGGCGGGCTTTCCTAGTCAAATAGGACTGTTTAGAATTAGATCGGATGGAGCAATTATTAGACTAATTAAGGATGTTCTCAAGCAACTCCCTCAATGTAATTTGCTAATAAGTTGTTGCTCAATCATTGTGATTAATTGAAATAATTTTGCTAAAAATTCTTTGTACGGAAATTTCAACCAATCAAAGTAACTATATGAAAAAAAATTTATATCTTTAGCTTCAGGTTTTTTCAACTTATCATAATTGCAACCATGACCAATTTTTCAGCTAATCAAGTTATCTTGTAAGCCCATTGAGGAAAGAGTTTGGGAACGGTCTACTAGTAGATATATTGTATAATTAATAATATCTAATCTTAGGACCGATAGTCCTTACGATCCAGGACTGGACTAACCCGGACCGAAAGATCATCGGTCTATACCGGATTGATAGCTCCAGTTCCTGGTTTTGCGCAACTATGTTGCGCAGCTACCTTATATAGTAAACATGATTTTAAGCATATGTATTGTATGTACAAATATAGATAATGCCAGATGAATTAAGCATCCAATCAGATGCACGTTTTTTGCATCCTGTTCTTGGTATTCACACGAAAAGTGCACAAATTCCTAAAACAGGAAAATCACAGCACAAAATTTGAATGAATTCCCTTTTTGTGTTTAATAGAATAGGTGGGCAAACTCCGCTAAACTTCAATTAGCGAAGTTTATTCTCCACCTATCGCTATTCTATAGAACATCCAAAAAAATTCTTATAGCAGGAAGTAATAAGGAGAAACAATCAGAAAAGGTAAACTAAAGAAGTTATTTACATCGAAGAAGAGATAAAAGTAAGGAATTATCTCAATTAATTGTCTAAATCAAGAACAAAATAGGAATTAATTTAGAAGTTACTCTGGAAACTTTATTAGATACCTGAACGGAAATCACTCAGGGTAATAATAAAACATTAGAAAGACCCAAAGCCCAAAACTAGTCATTGAGGAAATTAATAATCTTTGTCATTTACAAGCGGAACTCAGTTATCAATAGAAGATAACCAACAAATCCAGGCTTAAATTGCAGCTAGTTCTGCAAAGGCAAATTATCGTTAATCCGAAATAAATTTTGTTGCAATATCAAAAGTGGTTTTTTTATTGTCAAAAAGTTTTTTTATGAATTCAAATTCTCTTTAGAGAAAAATACCAAAATAAATATTAAACAATTATGGTAAATGCTCAAGAATGGTTGGATAAAAATTATCTGAAAGACACAAGAGGAAGGCGTAGGAATTCATTACGGAAAGAAAGAAGAGATATTAATGAATTAGATATTTCAAACAAAAATTTAGAGGGTCATTTAGATTTAAACGACTTTGTAAATTTGACTAAATTGGATTGCCAAAACAATCAAATTAATGGCATAAATTTTAGTAATTGCTCTAAACTGTCATTAGTTAATTGTAGCAAAAATCAACTAAATGATTTAAACTTAAATAACTGCTCAAGTGTTGTCTTATTGGATTGTAGTGATAATTTTCTCACTTGCCTCAATTTCTTGAGTACTTTGTCTAGTGAGAATAAAGAAAAATTAGAAGTACTTAATATAAGTGAAAATAACTTTTCTGAAAGTAGTATGGATGTATTCAGTAGTTTTGTTAATTTACAAGTGTTACATTTAGATAATTGGTGTAAAGAGAAAATAGACCGGGGTATTTATAATCGTTTTTCTGGGTCTTTCGAGCCCTTACAAAAATTAACAAAGTTAAAAAAACTAAATGTTAGTCATACTGACATAAATAGTGGTTTGGAATTTTTGCCCGCTAGTCTTGAATTTTTCTATTGTTCTATCTATAACAGACCTAATAGTCAAGTTAAAGTAATTAATCAAGAATTGATAAAGTACGGTGGTCCAGATAAGAGTTATAATTTTTCTCGTTCACTTTCTCTTTGGAAGGAAGCCCACCGGGAAAAAGAAAGTACATTTCGGCAGTACCAGCAAAGAATCCAAGAATTAGAAGAAAATTTACATAAACTTCAGAGAAGAGTTAGCGAACTAGAAACGGAGAAAGATGAATTGCGGGAAGAACTAGGAAAAACGCAAATAAGAGACGGAAAAATAATTAGAAATATCCTATTGATTGGTCGTACTGGTAATGGTAAATCAGCTTTAGCTAACGTGATATATGGGAAAAATAAATTCAAAGAAGGAGAGTTTGGAGTTAGCGAAACTAAAATCATGCAAGAAGAGGAAATAGAAATAGATGGAATAATTTATCGAGTGATCGACACTATCGGAATTGGAGACACCCAATTATCATTGCAGCAGGTGCTAAATATAATAGCCGATGCGGTTTATTCAGTGCGTGATGGCTTAAATCAGATATTCTTTGTAACTAGCGGCCGTTTCACCGAAGAAGAGATATTTGCTTATAACTTAGTGAGAATGACTATTTTTGACAAAAATATTGTTAAATATACAACTATCGTGCGAACTAATTTTCCAAACTTTCGAGAAACGAGTAAGTGTCAAGAAGATAAACAAAAAATGATCGAGAATAACGAGCAACTGGCTGAAGTAATAAATTCCTGTGTTAAAGTTATTCACGTGGATAACCCACCATTAAACGTTAATGATGAAAATCGTTTATCTTTGCATAAAAGGGATAGAGAAGTTTCCAAAAGTATATTATTAGCTCATTTACGAGTTTGCCAAGGAAACTATAAACCATCTAATTTAGATATGTTGAACAAAAGAATTAATGAGGGTATACCCGAAAAAGAAGAGTTAGAAAAAGAGATTAAGAAATTAAGAGATGATAAAAGATTTCTCGAGCGAGAAATAACTAAACTAGAAAAGCGACCTATAACTACCGAAAGAAATTCACGAATAGAAAAATTAACTAATAAAAGAAATCAGACTATAGAATTAATAGAGGCTATGATAAAAGAACGAGCATGTTACAATGAAATTATTTTTAAGGTAACTGAAAAGGCGTTTAGGGAAAAAGGCTTCTTTCAATCAATAGGTGGGGGATTAGACAAACTTACCGAAAAGGCCGTTGAGCATATAGACGTGTTACCCATCAAATGTTCATTAATGTAAGGGGAATATTGGGATACTTTAAGAGCCACTTATAATCATGATAAGATAGCTGACTTTAATGACTTTCAACAGAAGAGAAAGCAAACTCGAACGTAAATTCCTAAATTCCTCCCCAAGAAAACTACTAAAAACTATAATTATTAAAATTTGATCCGGGACATATTATTATGGTTTTAGATTGTGTAGAGGCTATGTGAGGCTAAAATGATAGTACGAAGCCACAAGCAGGTCAGGTCTCTTAAGATCATAAAATGTATAAAAGCATAGGCTATCTCATTTGATAAAAGGACTCATGTGAAGACTTGTGAAAGATTTGTGAAAGAGTCTCGCGTCCTTCTTGTTAAAGTAACAAAACAATTTCTTTATTTCCAACTATCATTGATACTCGAATCTCACCTAGCTGAATGAGATACCCAAACCTCGTTAACTATTGGAGCTAAACTGTGCAACAATAGTAACAATATATATTTTGTTTTATTTATTGTTGCAAAAATATTGTTTTTGACCTACTTAACCAAATTTTATTAACCACCCTAAAAAAAATAATCGATTTTAACCTATGCAGTGTTAAACGACTGTATTTATTATTGAAACTATCTTTAGATTAAATTATTTATTTTATTATAATGATGCTATTTTATTATTTAATTCGACTCTAATTTGTCATTTTATCGTTTTTTTTTCATATGAATTTTTTTTTTCATATTTTTCAGCATTACCATTCAAACAAATATTTCGTTCGTAACTGGCTTTCACAAACTCAAATCGTTCCCAATTAGTTCATTTCTCTGTAAAAAAACTTCTTTATATAACATCATATTTCCATTAACTTAGATTAATCTTCTATTTATTACATCATTACATGGGTCAAAAATGATGATTTGATTTTTTTTAGGGTGATCAATAAAAATAGCTCAACGCTCAAAAACAATGTTTTTGCACAGTTGTTGAAATGATTCATAAAAAAAATTTAGTTTAATGTGTAGTATTACATATGTATTTATCGTATATTGTTTTAAATATTATAATATCCATTCGCATATATCAGACATGCTCGTGTCTAGATTAATATAGTAATTTATTTTTACTTTACTGTATATTTATTCCGACAATGAATATAATGAATTGGTGGAAACACAGATGTAAGGTTTGTGACGAATGTAATCATTATTCACATATAAGTTGTATTGTAAAACGTGCAAAAAAGTAGCGGATGAAATATACGTATAAGCGATGTGAATGTGAAAATTTTCGATTATACCCTCGGATAAATTTACTGCTACTAAATTTTTTTAAAATTTGATACGCGAAAAAAATTCATGACCCTGGGCCTAGGATCCGCGTACTCCCTCCATCTTTGATAGCATCATATATTTCGCTTCTCTGAAATAATAAATTATAACGTGCTTATCCATAAACATGATGATGATTGTTTAATATCATGTGATATGGGATGCAGACAATAGAAACCCATTTTTACATTTTTTTTGAAAAATGAGTTTTTATTATATTCATGTAAATTTTGATATGATTGACATTTTTCAATTATAAATGAAAGTCAATTTGCATAATAAAAAATCGAGAGAAAAATTACACGAGGCTACGTAGGGTCAACACATCACGATATTATCCGATAGTCACCTGTTACCTTTAACAAATCAAAATCGTGAAATTTGATTAATCCCGGATCAGTCCGAAAATCAAAACAAATGATTATCTCGAAATAAGATATATGTAAAAATGGGCTATTTCTATTGTTTGCATCCCATATGTGGTCGTCGATAAATAGAATAATAGAGATCGTGCAAATTCATTGTTTTTTATGATTGTGGTAACGGTAACCATAACTGCTGATATTTACGTATTACGTCGATTTTATACCTTTTTTTTTGTCGTAAACTTTTTGTACCGTACATTGTACACAAATGACCAAATCTCAGTCATTACTTACACCTGAGATCGAAAAACAACTTAGTTACCCAAGTAAGTTCGTGATATCCTTTCGTTTCACACTAACAAACGTTAATGTGTATTTTCTCCCATCAGAGTACTGGGAAAGAGATTCCACATTATGGGGAAGCATAGCGGATTGGGATCTCTATTTTATCAATGAAATGCCCGGTTCGTCATGCGATGTATCACATAAAACACTAGCGAGTGAACTCGAAACACTTCTTAATCACTTTTCTGAAAATAGTCGTGAATGGTGCAAGGCAAAAACGATCAAGAAACAACTGAAGGTTTGTTTTATATTCTGCTTTCAAGATTGCATAAACCGTACCCTGCGGTTTCTATCGATTGACGGGCATTCTTCTGCTTGCCTGAAGTGGGTAGCATGTTATGGTCTGGACTT